GTCATTCCAGACTTCAAATGCTGAAGTAGCAGATATTATGTTAGCTGAACTCTCCTTTGAGATAGAATTGAACATCCATGATATAACCATGTTCCTGTTTCGAATCCACGAATTAACCAATTCAGCATTTGTACCTTCTGGCTTCGTTATACTTCAATCAATGGATCCAAGTTTGTTCTTCATCGATAATGCAATCATCATCGCATGGCTCCAAGAGGCATAGTTTTTTTCCCATGAGCTGTTGTGATACAAGTATTAACCCTAGACTATCTTACTCATGGCCGGTCGTCCACCGAGAAGATCTTCTGATTCCACTGAATCCATCACTGCAGTTTCATCAGAATAGATGATGAAGAAATGCACAGAACGGAAATGAGATTGAGAAATGCTCTGATGCCATGTTAGATTGAGAAATGAGATATTATTGATTTTGAAAAGTTACACAAATGAATGTACACAAGCTACATAAATAGCAATCATAATTGGCACCAGAAGAGAAGGAATAAATCCAGATGAACTAACTAACAAGATGAATTCCAGCTGAGTCAACTAACTAACAGAGAAGAAACTGAGCTGAGCTAATGTGTACAATGTTCGTATATATATAGTGCATACAATTCTAATAGCTACTGTGGTTTTCAAACATGCTAGGCAAAAAATTCATTAAATTGAACGCCATTTCCAGGATTCACAAAAACCCTTAAACCTCAAATAGTTATAGCATATAGATTAATATAAATTTTATATAAAGATCAACAAAGAAAATTAAGGTTGAAATTTGACCTTACTTTTGGCCAATTGTTAACTAAGTTTCTTCCACTGGCTTTGATAATTGCATGAGTGTGCCCCGGCATCTAATAGCTATCCATCTTATGCTCTTTTAGTCATTCTTTCTCCACGTGCGAAAGGGTGTAAAAGCAAAGCCATTTACGCCAACTAAGCTAAAGTACATCGGCATACAAGAAAAAAGAAAACCCAGTTATAATGGCAAACAGAGGAAGACGGGTGCAAGTTATCCGATGGCAGGCTAAAGAGCGTCGCGCGCCATTTTGCAGTGATACTTGACCTGTGTGGATTCTGGTAGATGAAAAATTGGTAGAGAATCGGATGGGAATTGACCTGTGTACTGTAGACTTAATCCGCGGTGGCCCGGCGATCAGTTTTTGGTTTGGTTTGGGGTTGGGTAGGTGCCTAGGTGGTGGGGTGCGTGGGGGAATATGAACTTTTTCTTTCCTTTTCTTTCCTCTCTTGTTTTTTTGGGCTTTTCCCCGTTAGGCACCCATTATTTGGGATTATAATTTTTGAAATAATATTTTTTTAAAGAATATATGGTTAAAAAGATAAAAAAAAATCGATTTACGTTTAATATTATTGAATAGAAGATTGCGTTGTTAAAAATAAGAGAGAAAAATTATAATGTGAAGTAATGAGGTCAAAAGGTCAATTTTCTGATCAACTAATGGTCAAATAAATATAATTCATCCATTTGTCCTTCTGCTGCAATGAATAAAAGGTTTGGGACCGTGGTTGACCCAAAAGAAGAGTTTGAGTAAAGTCTGCAACAAAATAAAATGTTTGAGATTGTGAATGCAATTCTTCCTAATAAAAATGTAAAAATTAAACACTAAAGCAAAATTCTGTCAATAATAAAATAACAATAAAAAAATAGCTCATAGTAATTAATAATACAAGGAAAAAAAATTAGAAAAAAAAATATATCATCGATTATACAAACAACCTCCCATTGTCATGAGTAAGTGAAGCATTTTCGATGATTGTCGAAGACATCATCAACAATATTATCAATGATAATTGCTTACAGAAGTGCGTTAGTGATGTCCGATAGTTATTCTGTCTAATTCACTGACATTAATCTAATTGGTGATTATCGACATAAATTTCTTTAATTTAGGGTGTGTTTGATCCACATTATTTTAAAAAAATGTATTCCGGAATAGTAGATTGATAGAGAATTTGTGGTTGAAAAAGAAGGAAAAGTTATTGATGTGATTGAAAATATTATTTTATTGACAAATGTGTGGTTGAAAATGAGAATTGATTTACTGTAGAAAATGAGAATCCCTACCAAACAGGCCCTCAATGTTGTAAGAGTATTGTGTAGTTCGCACATGTATTAGATTGTCTTAATATATTATANTAAATAAGCCCCTATTTGGTGTACATTTTTAGAAAAAGAATGAATTTTTACCGTTGATGTGATGGAGAATATGTGGTTGAAAAAGAAGGAAAAATTATTGATGTGATGGAAAATATTATTTTATTGACAAATGTGTGGTTGAAAATGAGTAAAAGAATGAAAATGAAAATTTTAATATGTACCAAACGGGACTTTAATCAACTTTTACCCTCCAAATTACTTGAAGCGCCATTATTTTTAAAACGGGTTGCACCGGTGATCAATGCCATGCTAAAGTGCTCCACTATACACCTTGCATTCGTAATATAAATGTCAATATCAAATTGTCATTGCATCCGGGGGCAGACGTAGTGGTGTCAAATGAGCCGAGCGGCTCGTCGGCTCGCCCGCTCGGCTCGTACTGTTCACGCCCATGAGCCGCTTGGGCTCGTCAAAAAACGAGCCCGAGCACGAGCCGAGCGGCTGGTGGGCTAGACGAGCCGAGC